GACACAAAAGTCTACCACAAATAGAGAAAAATAGCAAGCAAACCCTTTTAGCCAAGCAAACAGCAAACAGAAATCACAGAAGTTATACAGATTAGAATATACCAAAGAATATACAAGAGTAAATGATCTTTTTAGCTGGGAGAGAGATGGGATCTCTGCTCAAACCAAGAGAGGGCCTGAGCTCTCAAAGAAGTCCATCTTGTGGTCTCTGGGGAGGCAGGCTGGAAATTGGAGATATGTTTACAAGCCAGCTTCCCCTACATTTCTGCTGCTTCTCTCTAAACCTGTGTCTCTGCCCGTGGGTCACTGGAAGCACATGTATCCGTCTGCCAAGAAGCTTGGGCACCAATTCCATCCTTCAAACAGGTATGAGGTATGTCACCTCTGCATTCTCCCTGCCATAAGGAGTGACATCTCACTTCATGGCAGTAGCAATTCACAAAATACTCCAAGAATGGAAGTCTGGGTCTCTCTTTCTCTCTCTTTCTCTTTCCCTCACACACACACACACACACACACACACACACACACACACACACACACACACGTGTATATGCATGTTGCAATACATACACATGTATACACATAGATATATAGATATATGTGTACATTTAAGTTTACACATATACAATGTGCATACATACATACATATGTATGTATGTACGTACGTACTCGATGATCCCTGGGGTATCTTTTAGTCCTACGGGTCTAATATCTATTTAATTCATTGAATCAGAATTTTTAGGCTTGGAAGATATCTTAGAAACCACCTAGTCCAAAGCCCCCATTTTTATAGGTGAGGAGGGTGGGGCTCAGAGACATGACATGACACCCCCACAGTGAGTTAAGGGCAGCCCCAGGCCAGAACCAGGTCTCCCAACTCTTAGTCCCTCACACCACCTTCTCCGATGTATGTTCACAGTCTGTGAGCAAACACAACTCATCGTCTTGGCCTTTTTTCTTTTCGGCTCTGGTTTCTCTCTCCCCACCCCCACTCCAACCCCAAAGCAAATATTTTATAGGCCATCAGCTAATCCCAATAGCAGTCAGGGGGTGAAAGTATAATGTCACCCTTTTCCTTCCAGCTGTCTCATTTTCTAGGGCCATTATTCCCGCCAATAAAATTAGCACAGCGAAACAACATGAGAGGGGAAAAAAAAATCACACTCACACTCTGAACGCTGCCTCTATAAATGTTCAAAAGCCTCAGGGCCCTTGAGGAATTAAATAAAAAAAAAAAAACCCCTTTGACACCTTTTAATTCAATTCTCTCCCAGGTTCCAGTCGAGCGAAAAAGTAACTACCACTGTGTCAACCTTGCTTCTACAACATCCTTGACAGATGGTCGTGCAAACCTTTACTTGAATACATCCAAGGATATGAAGCTCACTCTCCCATGGAGCAGCCCTTCTCACTATTGGACAATTGCACAGCAATTGATTCACTAATCATGAACATGGGCATCATTGTCACCTAAGCATCAAGATCTCAGCCACAGAGACCCAGGTGGGAAATTTATATTCCAAAGCAAGTTGGCATTCCACTTTTAAATGGTTTCCTGTTACATATACAAGTCTATCTCACCTTGAGAAAATCTAGTGAGTGAACAAGCATCCAAACTCACTAACACATAAATTAAGGTGAAATTATTTGTATTATAAAAAGACATTAAAATAAAAAGGAGTCAGAGTTTTGCTACTTATTAGATGGCACAGCGGATAGAGCACCGGGCCTGGTATCAGGAAGACTCGTCCTCCTGAGTTCAAATCTGGCCTCAGACCTGTACTAGTTGTGTGACCCTGAGCAAGTCACTTAACCCTGTTTGCCTCAGTTTTCTCATCTGTCAAATGAGCTGGAGAAGGATCTTTACCAAGAAAACTCCAAATGGGGTCACAAAGAGTGGGACACAACTGCACAAACAACAACCTGTGTGACCTTGGGAAATCCACTGAACTTTTCTGGGCCTCAGTTTCCTCATCTGTAAAATGAGCTAGAGAAGCAAATGACAAACCACTCCAGCATCTTTGCCAAGAAAACCCAAACGGGGTCATAAAGAGTCAGACAGAGCTGAAAAATGACGAATAACACCGAATTATTCTTTACTGTCCCATATTAAGTTAATTTATAGCCATTTATATTGTATATATGTATAATATATCCATGTATATGCACATATACATGTACACACAGGTAGACAACATTTGATATAATAGATATGTTCCTAAAAATTATATGTTATCTGAATTTTTGCAAATTGGAAGAAATGCTAGATTTGGAATCAGAGAATCTGAGTTCAAATCCTACCCATGCTATTGGCTGCCTATGTAACCTCAAAAAGTCATTTAACTCCTCCAGGCCTCAGTTCCCTTATCTGTTGAATGAGGAGATAAGTCCTAATGGTCTTGTCCAACTATGAAGTAGAATTCTGTGAACCTGTGTTTTAAAATTAAATCACAAAAGAATAAAGGAACTGATGGCCTAAAAGAAATAAGAGGGGATTCATAAACTTTAGAATTGAAGGGAACCTCAAAGGCCGTCTAGCACAACTCTCCCATTTTACAGAAGAGGAAACTGAGGCAAACAGGGCTAAGTGACTTGCCCAGGATCACACAGCGAGGAAGTGTCAGAGGACAAATTTGAACTCAAGAAGACCTGGCACTCAATCCACTATGGCGCCACCTTGCTGCTCAAAGAATAACTAGGAAACCAATGAATCACATTTCTGTTTTCCACTTTGATTTTCTGAAGCTAATTCTTTATCTTAAATAAAGAATCTGGTTACTAATTGGCCCTTGGGAAATGAAGTGATTTCTGCGTCTAGTTTCCTGGCATGAATTTCCAAGGCTTCCAATATTCAAATCTATTTACAATTAGCTGTATGGACTTGGGAAAATCATCTAACCTCTCTGGGCCTCCATCTTTTCATTAGAAAAGTGAGGGGACTGGACTGGGTGGTGTCTAAGGTCTTATGTAGCTCTAAAGTTGTATGTTCTACAATAAATAAACACATTCATTTCAAGGCAGAGCCTCTTACTTAAACAATTAGCCTTGGGGATAGAAATGTAAACACATTTATTATGTTTCTATAGGTGTGAGCAGTAAATTTTTTAATTGTTCTTCCCTGTGTGGCTACCAGTTGGAGTTCGTAAAGATTACACATTTTGAAAAACATTCACACAAGATGAACTGAAAACAAATTCTCAGTTGTTTGGGCTGAAAATGACTCAATGTCTAGCTCCCTGCTCAACACAGAACTAACGTGGGCATAGGAAAAAGCAAAACTGGCTGCCAACAAGGAGAAAACCAAACTAGCTGGGTCAGGAAATGAGTTGTTTTGTCCCAGCAGGATGCAGACAACTTTGTGAGAAGGCCAACCCCTGTGTCTCACTCAGGGAGGAGCAGAATACGCTGATGGAAATCTTTTGGATTCGGATGGGTGCCTCTGCCAGACCTCATTGGATGGAGCTATTCAGCTCATTAGGCCAGGAAGACCAGCAGGCAGACAGACTCCTCCTCCTCCCTTCCCCCTCTCCCCAGGGAATACTCCTGGGAGCTGGTGGCTGGGAGCTCTAAGCGACTCACCAGGCTCAGCTGTCCTCCCGGAGTCTCTCCTTGAATCATTGTTTCCCAAAGGGGGATGGGTATCAGGATGGGCGAAGAGGAGAGGGGAGGGATAGCTTCTTCTTGTTTGTTTGTTTTTAATTTTCCATGTGTCCTTTTATTCTCTGTTCTTTCATTCCCACACGCATGCTCACATGCTCCCCAGGGGATGTAGGCATCTCCTTTGATTACTGAAAGGAATGTGTGTGGTTTGGGGAGGAAAGTAGGGACTGGGGGGGTTGGGAAGAGGAGGGAGGGGAAGCAAAGGAAAGAGGAAGGGAATTCAGATAAAAACTTGGGCTGGGAAAAAAAAGAGGACACCCAGAGTGAAGGACCTATTTCAAATGCTCCCACTGTAAGCCACATTGTACTATGAAGGTTTTCAGGGACTGCCCTGTGTTTGTTCTACAGAGTATGGAGCTAAGCGGATATTCACAGAGGCCCTGAATCCATCGAAGGAGCAAGCACAGCCTGGCTCCTTCCTCCTCTTTTCTTTTGGGGGGGGGTAGCGAGGGGGGAAAGTCCTTGTACAAAAGGGACTTAGTTGGATGGTTGGAATTAAATGAGCCAGAATTTAGAGGGGTGGGAGGCAGGAGCGGGTTAGATGAGAATAATTAGGGCAAGAAACCTGGGGAAAGTGTTGAGGAAGCTCCCAGAACCCTGGGCTTAGTGGGTGACAGGGGTAATAAGCAAGTCTGACCAATGATATTGACAGACACATGGAGAGACAGAGAGGCAAAGAGGCAGAAAGACAGACAGACATAATAAAGAAGGAA